ATGTTGGGAAAAAAAATGAAATACCTTGATGAATGCTGTAAGAACTCTGCATTTTGATAGAAAACTCTGTTTAAAATGTTGATTTAGATTTACTTGCTAAGCTTGCCTGTTCTGCCTGATTTGTATCTACCACACATGGATGATTAACCTAGTTGAAATGCTAAGAATTGAAGTGCTGTAAACCTCCTTCCTGGACCCTGGACCCCAGACTCAGTTGATTTACAATGTGTCCTGTAGGCCTGTTTGCACATACCAGATAACCGATAAGGAACAAAGAGAAGGAAGTTGCACCAGGCTTACACCAGATCTAGCCTTCCTGGAAAAGATGTTTAACCGAAACTATAGCTTTTAGAAGATGTTTGATCAAAGTGTCTGCTGAGGAATGCTTTTTGTGTAATGACTATGTGGGCCTATATAATCTGTATCTGACACTGAATGGGGGTCGATCGTTCTGACCAGACTTGCATGTCTTGGGAAACCGGTCGACCCCAGCCGGCTGGAAAGTAAAGACTCTGCTTGATTTTTACATCTCCAATCCCATGTATTTGTTATCTGGAGGGGACCCATCGAGTCACGGACCCTAACAATCCAACCTGAGTCAGCCGCACAACAGGCCAATTCAATGGAGAGACAAGATTTGTAGGCAAGGAAAGTGGCCGTTGGAAAAACTGGATCATTCATTGATTGAGAGGATGGAGAACTCTGGCCTGAAGGCCACTTTGCGGGGAAGTGGCTTTTGATAGGTAAAAAGTTGGCAGAGAACGAGCGAATGGAGGATGAGGCACCAAGGCACAGATAAAACTCCATCAAAATAGGGTTTATTAGCAAAGGAACACATGGGACAGATTCCCTTCCGGGCAGGGAAAATGTCTGCCTGGGTCTTGAGCTGGGGTCTTTTAAAAAGGGAGGCTTCTGCTTCCTGCAGAAGGCGGGAAGATGTATTTTTTTAAAGTTGGGGTGGGGAGTGGGAGAGCAGGACTGTTAAAACCTGTCCTCTTTAGAGATCAAAGGGGAAGCCTGCTGTGTTGGCCAAACAGTGGAGAAAAGTCTGCTTCTCTTGACTTCAAAGACCAAGGTGCTTATCAGCTAGGTTCCCTTTTCTCAGGAGCATGAGAAGTCCTTGGGATCCTGTTGGTGAGGGGGCAGGGCTATCTGAACCTTAACAGTTTTCATAGGCCTTTCTCATGCCTAAGTGACTTTAATCCTCCAGTCACCAGATGCTTTTTGTTTCTGCAAATCTCACAAGCAAAGGTTCTTGTTGCGGAGGAATTTGCTCATATGCTCCTGACCTCATGGGTGGACAAGCCAGAAAGGGGTAGCTACCTTGAGGCCCCCTTGCTGATGACCAAACTCAAGGCGGTGAGGGAAAATGTACTTGACTTTGTGGAAGGCTAGGGTGAGGTGAGGCTGTGGGCAGAGTGGGCAGGAGAGCCCATCTCCAAAGCCTCATAGCAGTGTCTAGAGGAGCAGAAATGTTCAAAGAGAGGCTGAGAAGGCATGATGGTGTGAAATGTGTTCCTCCTCTGTCATCCAGACATGTCAAGGCCTCACCCTGTCCCAGTACCCATAGGGACACTCCAGCAGCTTGGCCTGCTGAGTCCTTGACTTCATGTACAATGAGGGCCCTTTTCTCCATCTTCCCACATCCTTCTACTCCATGGCTGTCCCTGGGCCTGCATTGTTACCCCAAACAGAGTCAAAAATCAGTCACAGGCACCCCTCTCAAGTGTGCTCTGTGCCCATCCCATAGTCCTGAGCTCATTCACTGGCTGCCTTCGCTTCCACCTTGCTGGGCTTGACCATGGAGCATGGTATTTGCCAAACTGATGCATTCCCTTCCTTCTCCCTCTTTCCACTGAAGTCACCTAGAGCTTCCCTGGCCTTGCCTGTAGCTCAGCACTGAGAAGAAAATCCAAAGCCTACTGTACTGTGCAGCTATAGAGGGTGCCGGTTACTGCCAGGCTTTCCCTCAGCACTGTTCCCTTTGGTTCTCTTGTCTATTTTTGGAGGGGAGGGATTTGAGACAGGGTCTCCCTGTAGGCCCAGCTGGCTTGGAACTTGCTATGTAAACCAGGCTGGCCTCCAACTCACAGAGATCTGCCTGCCTCTGCCTCCCAAGTGCTTGGATTAAAGGCATGCGCCACCACGCCAGGCCTGAAATTCTTTTTTTGCATTAAAGCCACAAATCCCAGTTTGATGGAGGTTCCTAAAAGTCTAGGGGAATGTCTCAAACTGGGGGTGGGGGAGCTTGTGTGTACTGCCTCTGCCACCTCAAACTCTGACAACCTACTTGCTTATCTTTATAAGGGCATTTCAGAGGTGCCTCAAATTCAAATTTTCCTTACTGCCTGCGGCCCCCTCCCATCTTTATCCCCTCCCTGCTCCCACTATCCCTATCTGAGTAGCTCCATTAGTTCAGGGGATCAGTCATGTCAACCTTGCCAACTCTCCCTGTAGCCTATATCTACTCTATTTCCAAGTCCTTGTGATCTGGACTTTCAAACCTCTCCCCATGTTTTTTCCATGGTTTGACAAGCGTTCCTCCCTCTCTTCTGGACTAAAGCAATAGCTATGCGTGCAAGCTGTTTTCTAAACTAAGGCTAGATTCATCTAAGATACAAAGAACAGGGACTGGAGAGATGGCTCAGTGGTTAAGAACACGGGCTCCTCTTCCAGAGGACCGGGATTCAGTTCCCAGCATCCACATAGTGACTAACAACCATCCGTTAACTCCACTTCAAGGAGATCTGATGCCCTCTTCTGGCCTTGGCAGGTATTGCATGACACGGGTGCACTGACATATATGCACGCAAAACTCATACACATAAAATAAAGATAAATAAATAAAAAATAAAATGGAAAAAACAGCTGGGGAGATTGCTCACTTATTAAGAGCAGTGACTGTTCTTGCAGAAGACCCACATAGTGGCTAGCAACTATCCTATACTCCAGTTCCAGGTCCTCTGATGATGTACTCTTCTGGCTTCCAGAACATTGTATGATACAGGTTTCCTTACATGCATGCAAACAAAATAGTCATACATATTTAAAAAAAATCAAAAATTTCAGGCTAGAGAGATGGCTCAGCAGTTAAGAGCACTGGCTGCTCTTCCAGAGGACCTGGGTTTGGGTCTCAGCATCCACATGACAGCTAACTCCAGTCCTTTACTCCAGTCCAGGTGATTCGACGCCCTCTTCTGGCCTCCATGGGCTTTGCACACATAGGTGCATTTACATATTTGCAGACAAAATACTCAGACACATAAAATAAATATTTTTAATTAAAAAGTTTTGCATTTATTTGTCTATTTATTGCTTTATCATGGGGATGCATGGAGGTCAGAACAAGACTTCTACCTTGTGAGATCCGGGGATAGAACAACTCAGGTTGCTAGACCTGTCCCCCATCACTTTTACTTGCTGAGCCATCTCACAGGCCCAGAAAAGTTAACAACAGAACAAGTTAACTAGAACAATAGCTATCTTTAGAGTCACTGGATCCGAACTTGTGTGTACGCTAGCTCATTCACTTCCCCCTAAAAGTCAGACAAGGTAGACACTAACAGGGAAACAAAGCTCTAGAAAGTTCGGCTTACAGTACTGGTGGTGTTTATTCAAGTAGGATCCAGATTCCGCTTAGTGCTTCCACCCTCCTTCGCTCCGATCCAGCCAGGCTCTGTTCTTCTATCGGCCCCGCCCTTCAACCGGTCTCTCCAGGCTCCGCCCTCTCCCGGCCCCTCCCTCGATCTGTCCCCGCCTCGCCCTCGTCAGGCCCCGCCCCTCATCTCCCGCCCACTTGGAGGAACGATGCAGTTCCGGACTATGGCCGCTGGAGGGCGGCCGCGCAGCTCGGTCTAGGCCGCTCTGGGCCGCTCTCCTCGCTCACCCTCCGACTCGGCTACGGCTGGGAGCCGTAGCTCTGCCCGCGCCGAGTGCCGACCACCTGGGCCGCTGCGCCGGACCCAGCACCTCGGGTCCTCCGGGCCTGACCGAGGCCGCAAGCAGCGCCGCGGGGTGTGGGGCGGACCCAGGAGATGAAATGACAACGTCAACCCTCCAGGTACCTCTGAGCTGCGCGGCTGCGGAGGCCGAAGGTGGCGGGGCCTGCGGGCCTCCGCGGAGCCCTGGCCTCGCTGCCCCGGCCAGGGGTCGCGTTCCGCCTGCGCTGCGGCCTCTTTCTCACTCTCGGAGCCCGGCCCTCACCGGGCGGTGGAGTCCCAAGGCCGCTCCGTGCAGCCGGCGCCGCCCCGCCAGCCTGTCCGGCAGGTCCCTCGCTCGGGGAGCGGTGCTCACCCTCTGCTCCTGCCTCCCGCACCGGCTGCCTCTTGCGCTAGCCCCGGCTTCGACCTCCCGAGCTCCAGTCCTCCGGCTAGCGAGCCGTCATTCATTCCCTAGATGGTGCAGGGAGATGCTGGGGTGGCGCCTTCTAAATGAAGGCAGGGCTCATCCCACAGCTGTCGGAAACCACAAACACTGTCAGGCCTCAGACCCAGCTCCGCCACTGACAGCGTGTGACCGTAGGCTAGGTTTTTGGTCCTGGAAAGTCAGATTTCCTCATCTGCAAAATGGGGTCGTGCCCGCCCGGTAGGGTGGTTGTCAGACAACCCGAGACCGAATCATCCAGGGAAAGCATTTGCAGCATAGGTTTGGGTACATCGTGTGTTCTGAAGGCCTTTACAAATAGTGCTGGGGCAGAATTAGGTAAGACTGTGTGAAGAAGGGACTTCTCGCCAGAGTATCATCAAAGGGTGCCTGGCTTTCAGATAACAGGGTGGTGGAAGAGGGATGGTTGCTCCAGGTGGAGGTGCAAGGGTGGGAAGAAATTGGAGTACTGGGCTTGGAATTAAATGGAATCCAAAGGCAGAAGAACCCACCCGCAGAAGCTCTCTGATCAGTTGCTGGAGGCTTAGCCTTCTTCAGCCTGCAGACCCTACCTACCTGGTCAGTTTTAGCATGACCTGGGAACCAAGAATATGTATTTTTAGCTTTTTTGAAACAGCTTTATGAAGATGTAATACCCATACCATACAATTCACCCATGTAAAGAGTATCATTCAGTGGTCTCTATATCCACAGAGTTGTGTGTCTATCATTACATCCACTATTTAGGACATTTTCATCATTCCCAAAGCAACCCTATGCCACTGAGTCATCCATGACTCCCCAATCCTGCTCCTCCTAGCGCACCAGGGAACCACTAATCTACTTTCTCTGGATTTGCCTGCGCTGGAAGATTTATTCATTGATTCATATAATTATCATATGTGTCTTTATGAGTATGGTGTGTATGTGCTCACATGTTTGTGAATGCGACTACACATGCATGGATGTCAGAGGATTACTTTCCAGAATCAGTTCTCTTCTTCCAGCATGGGTTCTGGGCATTGAACTCGGGTTATCAGACTTGTGTTTACCAGCGCTTTTTTTTTTAACGTGTATGAGTGTTATGCCTGCATGTAAATGCACCTGTGTCATACAATGCCGGAGGAGGACAGAAGAGGCCATTGGATCCCCTGGGACTGGAGTTACAGACAGCTGTTAGCTGCCATGTGGGTGCTGGGATTTGAACCCAGGTCTTCTGCAAGAACAACCAGTGTTCTTAACCTCTGAGCCATCTCTCCAGCCCCCAGCACTTTTTTTTTTTTTTTAAAGAGTATCATGATGCATTCATCACCAGGTTAAAGGAAAGCTCTTAGTAGGATCACTTACTACTATGGTCAATGGAAGAGTCACTGTGTCCCAAAGTCATGCCCTAGAGGAACAGAGCAAAGTGAAAGTACGTGACCCCTTCCACAAAGTTCTTGACACTCTTTTACACCAGAAAACTAGACATGATTTCTAATATCTTTTATGGGCTGGGTGTGGTGACACATACCTGTAGTCCCAGCACTTGGGAGGCAGTAGTGAGTTCTAGGCCACCTGGGGCTACAGGAGACCCTGTTTCAAAAAGACAGAAAAAAATGTAACTTTTATTTATTTTTTGATAATTTGATACATGTAAACCATGGATCTTGATCATGTGCACCCCTTACTCCTCCCCCAGGAGCCCCGTATTCCTCCCTCCCACTCCCCTCAGGCACCCCTAACACATCCCCAACTCTTCTTTGTCCCCCACTCTTCTTTGTCCCCACTCTTCTTGTCTTTGTTAATAACCCATTGAGTCCAGTCAGTGCTGCCTGTTGGAATGCTGACTGATCTTGGTGACTTGATCTTGTGCAGGTCATCATAGTGCCAGTGAGTTCATGGGTGCAATGGCTTTGTCATGTCCCAAAGACAGCATTTCCCAGCACTCGTCCTCATCCTCTGTCTCTTAAATTCTTTTCACCCCTCTTCTGTGATATTCCCAGGGCCTTTGGGGGTGGGGTTGATATGGCTGTCCCATTTAGGGCTCAGCACTCAATAGTCATGTATTCTCAGCACTTTAACCAGTTATGAGTCCCTGTATTAACTGCTGTCCACTAGAAATTTCTCTGGGCAGCACTACTCTTTTTTATTAACATCTTGCCCTCAAATTTATTTGTAAAACCAGCACAGGACACCAGCCCTCTGCAGTGGGGAGGGAGGTCACACTAGTCCATCTGTCTTCACATTGGCAAAGACCTTTATTGTGGGGCCTTCACAAGGGCCTGGGCACCTTTGGGAACCTGAGCTGCAGTCTGGGCCTTAGCTGCAGCTGGAGCCTGGTTTTTAGGTGGAGCTACAGCCCCAGCCTTGGCCTTTGGTTGGCAGAGAGGGCAGCATTACTCTAATGGGTATGAGCATATATATTTTCAAGATAGTTTGACATTATGTTGTTTAGCAAAACAACAGTAGGTTCCTCCCCAGAGCCTATGACCTTCTGAGCCATGGGCTTTTGACCAGGTTTACAGTGATGGGCCTGAATTCTTATGGAGCAGGCAAATCCAATCCAAAAGCAGTTGATTACTCCCATAGCCTCCATGCCACTATTGCTCCAGTGGGCACATCTTGCTGACGGGTCAGTACTGTAGCATGCTGAATTGGCTACAGACACTCCATTGATGTCTTTTCTCCCATAGTGCCCAGCATAGTACCTTCCAACACCATGAAAGCTAGCCAGGAGGGAGGAAGTTTTCATATCAGTTCCAGCTTGATTGCTCTATGGACGGCAACCAGGCAAGCGCCTTCACCCACTGAGCCATCTTTATGTTATTTAAATAAAATCATACAATATGCAGTCTTCTGAACTGAACTGACTTGGTTGGCTTAACCTAATGTCATAGTCTTTTACATTTTTAAATGGCGGGGGGGAGAGATTTTCATGACCTGTGAAAGTAGTTTAAAATTCAAATTTTGGTGCCTATAAATAAGTTTTATCACAGACCTTCACCCACTGAGCCATCTTTATGTTATTTAAATAAAATCATACAATATGCAGTCTTCTGAACTGAACTGACTTGGTTGGCTTAACCTAATGTCATAGTCTTTTACATTTTTAAATGGCGGGGGGGAGAGATTTTCATGACCTGTGAAAGTAGTTTAAAATTCAAATTTTGGTGCCTATAAATAAGTTTTATCACAGACATCTCAGTACATTTCCTTTTTTTTTTTTTTCCTTTCACATGATCATGTCTCTTTGTGGCATTATAAAATATGTATTTTGGAACTCACTATGTAGACCAGGCTGGCCTTGAACTCACAGAGATCTGCCTGCCTCTGCCTCCCAGTGCTGGGATTAAAGGTGTGCACCACCAGGCCTGGCTTTATTTATTATTTTTATTTTATGTGTATGTGTGTATTGCCTGCATGTATGTGAGTGCACCAGTGTTGTGCAATGCCTGGGGAAGTCAGAAGAGGTTGTCGGATCCTCTGGGACTAGAGTTACAGATGGTTGTTAGCTGCCATGTGGGTGCTGGGATTTGAACCCGGGTCTTCTGCAAGAACAGCCAGTGTTCTTAACTGCCGAGCCATCTCTCCAGCCCCCCAGTACATTTCCTTTGCTTTACATGTTGTCTGTCTGCTTTGTGCCACAAAGTGAGTTGAGGTGCTGCTGCAGAGAGTGTAAGCCCACAAACCTGCACACTGCTGACTGGCCCTGTACAGAAGAAGCCTGTCAGCCCCTCTAGCAGCACACCTTTGTTACCCTTCTTCACCCCACCCCTTGGCCATAGGTGTTACTAGAGATGTGGTGTGCCTGGCAGTTTTATTTGTCACCTTACCCTCCTGTTATGCAAAGCTGTTTCTCTCCATTGAAACAGGCCTTCTGCATGTGAAAGACAGCGTTGATTGCCAGAAAAATTGAATGCACTGTTAGGTACATTAATAGTGTCTGCCACTATCAATGTATGGAATGGGCCTGTTCTGCTCCATGGGGGTAGAGCACACTGGTATTGTTCTGAGCCCTCCCTTGACTTTTAAATTGTGTGTGGAGTGTGTGTGTACGCCTGTGGTATGTGTATGTATGTGTGTATAGATGGGGGCATGTGTATGTGGTGTGCATATGTATGTGGGTGTATGTGGTAAGTATGTGGGATATGTATATGGTGTGTGTATTGTGTAGTATGCATGTAGTTTTGTATATATTGGGTGTGTGTATGTGTATGTGGAATGTATATAGGGTGTGTATATGTGTGTGAAGTGTGTATGTGTGTGTGTTTGTGTCTGTGGTATGTATGTGGGGTGTTTGTGTGTATGTGTATATGGTATGTGTGGGATGTGTGAGGTATATGTGTACGTGGTGTGTGTGGTGTGTAATATGCATGTATGTTTGTATATACTGGGTATGTGTATGTGGTATATATAGAGAGCGTGTATATGTGTATGTAGTATGTGTATATATGTGTTTGTGTATGTGGTGCGTGTGGAGTGTGTGTGGTATATGTGGTATGTATGTGGGAGTGTGGGGGTGGGGGTGTGTGTGTATGTGGTATGAATGTGTATGTAGTATGGGGGGTGTATGTGGTGAGTGAGGGTGTGTTGTGTGTGTGTATGTATGTATGCAGGTCTGCATACCATGGCATGTATGTGGAGGTCAGAGGACAACTTCAGGAGTTGGTTCTTTTTGGGTGTCTGTTCTCTCTCTCCTTCCACCATGGGTCTAGGAATGGAACTCAGTCTTCAGTCTTATACAGGAAGTACTTTTACCTGCCAAGTCATCTCATCAACCCTGACTCCCCCATTTTAAAAGGACAAACCCAAGCAAGCCATATAGAGTGTGAATTCCAAGAAACTGGGGGTGTTCCTTGTGGAGAAGAGATGTCACCAGAACGAGAGCTCTGTCTCCATTGTTTATATAAAGGGCCAGAGGGGGGTGAACAGATGGATCTGGTGTGTAAGCTTACCTGCCAGGATAGTTGGGTGCTTAATACTCTGTGGCAGTGGAAGGAGCACAGCTTGACTAACCTGAACTCTGGCTTTTCCTGTCTCCATCTCCTCAGTCTAGTGAGTTCCTCTACAGCTGGCTCCTCACCCCAGCCTGGCAGTTCTGTAGAGCTGCCTCTGTGCCTTTCTTTCTTGCAGATGAGAATGGCTAACAAAGCCCTGGCTCTGCCAAGAGCTGGTCAAGAGGTTATTGTTTGCTATGGCTGGAGCTGGGGCTGTGGTGGGATCTGCCTGCCAGGCAACTAATGCCTCACCAGTGGAGAATTCTGTCCAGGCCGCATGGATTGGGAAAGCTGCAGTTTTTGCAACTGGTTATGTAGGGCTTCCAGATCCACGTGGGGCATGAATCTCCAGAACTTCTGAGACTCCCAAAGTCATCACTCACAGAGTTCTCAGAAGGGCCAGCAGGCAGTCTCCTCTTTTGATGGGAACTGTGTTTACCTCTGGAGTAAGCAAGCACTTACCTTCCTGGAACTACTGGTCTGTGGAGCCCCATGGCTAAGCCTCCCCTCTTAAGGGTTGGCTTTAGGCAGTTTAGAAAAACTGTCTTTTTTGAGTCTAGAGTAGTGAGTCAGGCCAGTGGAAAGGGTATCTTTTTTTTTTT